CTTACTGAGCTTTTTTGCCTAAGTCATGATCCCTGTTTCGGGCAGCTTCAGTGGTTCTCAGTTCTATGACCAGAGACCACGACAGGATGAGGTTACTGACCTACAGTAACCTGGTTTCAGGAAAAACAGCCCCATTAATTTTAGCTGCCCTCCTGTTTGGTCCTGTGTACATGGGTCTGCAGCCACAAGTTGGGTTCTTTGGTGCTTATAGACTGGGTAGAGGGCTCTACCTTCTAAGACCTTGATCCCAACCTGCCTATAAGGTTGGGGTTACCATGCAATCTCCCTTCCCCAATCCTATCTTTTTAATCTTGGGTTTGCACTTGACATTGACAATCAGTCCTCTCTCCCATCCCAGTCCTAGAACTCAGTGGCCTTAGAGGATGGTTTCTGAGCTGAAGGTCCCTCCTTTGTTCCCAGTTCCACCCTGCCTAGTGGGCTGGACCTCAGGGGGCGAGGGGCAGGGAGAGAACATGCGAGAAAATGGTTTTAAAGCAGAAGGATGGCTCGAGCATGTTGGAGGCAAGTGAGAGGCACGTTGGTGAGATGAGTGTGTGCATGTCTGGAGTGACTGGGGCTTTACCGTCCCTTCTGGGAAGGTGGCTTCCAGAAGAGGATGTCTTCTAGGCAGAAAGGGAAAAGTGTGAGAAGGCTGAGAGAGTTTGGAGTCTGGAGTTTAGTCTTCATAAAAGAAGGAAGAAGTCAATTCTGAGTGTTTCAGGAGGAAGAGAACAGGTACAAAGGGAATTTACTGATTCACTATCCAAGAGTCCAGTCAGAGCAGGTTGGAAAAGCCCTAAGATTTGGCCACAGAAGAAGCTGGCCCAAGGAAACTGCTACTAGCTGGGCCACAGACTGGGTCCCCAGCACGTTCTTAATGAACAGTCACTGATTGACCTAGTGAAGACAGGAAGTCGCCAGCAACAAACCAGTCTTTGAGTTTGGAGGCTCTGACTCGAGAACATTCATCCATCTCCCAGGTTCCCAGCTGGTTTTGCCCACATCCCTTTGTCCAATCCGGAGCTAGCCTCTCAAAATTGCTCAAATTGGTTAGAGACCAGTGACCATAATGGGTTGTACAGGAAGGACCCACCACCCCCCCAAACTGGAACCTCAGGGTCTAGACACTAACAAGCAGGTCTGGGAGGAAGGCGGCCTCATTTCTTTTTCTGTTAACACCAGTAATTTGTGAGTCTCTCTAATGTTACCTATGGCTACTAGGTCTGCTGAGCCTGCCTCGCAGGTGTGACTTAGAAGACAGGGTGCAGTGCACACTCATCCATGGATGTGCCCTTCCATGTTCAGTGGCCTCGGGCCAAGGCATATTTCCATAAGCGCTTCAGAGAAGGGAGGGCAAACAGCCACCATTCTTGGATCTGCAACTTGTTCTCTGCAGCAAGTTTTCTTTGAATCCGGGACACAAGCCGGGAAAAGGGTTTCCCTGACAATATGACTGAGAGGTCTGCAGGAAGGTGACTTCCGAGAGAAGATGTGAGTGGCAGGTCCTCGAAGTGTGGTTTGTGGACTGCATGGTTGCGCGTGACCTGCTGGGTGTCTCTGGGGCTCCAGGACTTTGGGGGATTTTTCATGGTCTCCGTTTAACCCCTCCCAGCTCTTAGAGGGCTCTGTGGGGTCAGGAGAAGGTTGTGCCTTCTTCTGCCCTCAGCAGAGAAACTGAAGAAAAGAACATTTGTATTCAGTGCAGTCAGTGTGAGTGCAAAAAAATTTCCAGGATCAATGGTGGTGCTAAACTATCTCCATGTCTCTCATATTTTTAATAGTGGGATTTTTTTTAATTGTTCTCATCACAAAAATGCAGTGTCCTTGGGGAAGGGATCCAGCCCCTCGGCCTGCCACTTTCCAGGTGTCCTTTATCACTGTTGACGGGACTCTTTGGTCTGCAGAAAATACTGTCTTGGCATGCTTCTAGACTGTAAGATTTGGGTTGTTTTGTTTTGTATTTTGTTTATGTTTACATGCATCTTGTATTTCCCTGAAAACTAAATAAAGTTTTTGGCCTTTTTAACTGAACAGAATCACTCTTAATTCTCCCTGTCATCAGAAAAGCCATCCAGCTGAATGGCAAAAGCCACATTATCCAGAATGCAGCATGAACTGCAGGGTCCGGGGCCCTCTGAGGACACTGAAGGGCAGGGTGAGGCAGGTAAGTTGCCACCTTTGTGGGTGAGACTCAAACTCCAGCTTTTCCTCCCTCCCCCACCATCAGGAGGCTTTCTGGGAAGTGGCCAAGGCTTTGAGGGAGAGCACTGCAGACCCTGGGGCCGAAGGTCAACAGCCAGCAGGCCTAGCTGGCCTCTCAGCTTCAAGCCCCTGCCCCTCCCCTACTTTTGCTGGGCTCCAGGAAACAGGGCTGGGCCATCCCGGTGTAGGAGCCAGAGCCCCCTCCTGGAAGAGAGGGCAGGAAGGCAGGCCTGCCGTGTGCTGAGTCCCCGCCGTACCAGGTGAGGACTGCCACCTTCTGCCCACAGCCATGCCACCACTCCTGGCTTCTGTAGCCAGCCAGATGTACCCAGCACATCTGGAAGCTTTCTCTAAAGGTCCCTGGCCAGAGGCCTCCCCTGCTATCCAACTGTCACCCATTTGGTATCATCACCCCCGCTCCTGACCCACATGAAGGGCCTGTCATCTTCCCATCAGCCCCTAGGTGGCAGTGCCACCACACTAGGGTTTGGGACCAGGTTTGGGCCCACCTCAGCCTTACCAGAAAGCGGAGCAGGCCTCATGGGCCTGCCCCAGTAAACACTGCTCCTCACAGGCCCAGGGACTTGAGGCCACCAAAGGGCAGAGGCTTCTCCCTTTCAAATTACAGGTCTCACCTGGCATGCTGGGCCCCTGCTGTCCAAGCCCCAAGTCATGCTTCAGTCCCCCGTTTACAGGGAGTCTTCCCTGATTGTTGACTCCCCCCCATATCCAGGACACCTGACCCTTTACCTTCACCCACACCCCTCCCTCCCCCACTCCCCAGCCCTCCACACAGCACAGTACAGCCCTCAGGCTGGTACGAAATCACCTTTATTCACAATCACAGCGACCCAAGTTCACAAAGGAGGCAGCAACTATCCCAGCACTAACAGAGACAGTGGTATAGATGGCTTCCTCTCCCCAAACCTCAGGCCACGCAGCCCCTGCACATAAGACCTTTCCTTGCCTCTGAGATGAGACTCCGGACTGGAGGGGGCCACCATCTGGCCCACCCCACCCTACTCCCACAGAAGGGGTCTCCGGGGTCAGTGCCTGGGGAATAGAGACCCACAGTGGAACCATGACTTCTAGAAGCCCGCTGCAAGGCAGGCACAAAGTCCCAGCCTGGTGTCCTCACCCCCCAGTGCTGTCCCACCCACCACTCTAGCAGCCCTTCCCCAAAGAATTCCCAAGAGTCACACGCTGAGGCTGAGGGGCGAGGGCCACACAGCTGCCCAGTGGCCAGGTCTAGAATCCCATACTCTGCCAGCCACAGGGAAAGCAGTCTCTGATGGATGTAAAAGCCATCGGAGGGGGCAGAGGGTTGGGAGGCTGAGGGGAGACTAGGCCAAGACTCAGATTGGGCCGCGGCCCATCACCTATCAGAGTAGGGCAGGCAAGGCTAACCGCAGGGGTGGGGGACACATCTTCACCCCAGAACCAGAAATGACCCAGAGGCCCCTTCCCTCATCTTTCCTGGGGCAGGGGAGCCTAAGAACGGCCTTGCTGCCCTTACTATGAGTAGGCTTCCCCAGCCCTGTTCTCTGGCCCAAGCTGGGCTCCCCTCCTTCAGCCTTTCCAGAACTTTTTATGTCTTCATGGAAAGAGGAGCTCCTGGGCCTCCCGATGGATTCAAGCCAATTTTGATCACCCTGCCACAGCCCAGAGAAGGGCACTTCGTGGTGCTGGGTGATCCACCAGCCCTAGGACATTGGGGAGGCTCAGTATGTCTCTCTGTAAAATAGACACAATTTGAAAGAAGGCCTCCTAATTCAGCCCCTCTTTTTGGAGTTCTAATTCATGGTAAGCAGAGCTGGTATGGACTTTGGGCGGGAGCCTGGGGAAGACTGTGAGGACTGCCTCTGCAGTGCTTTCTCACTGGGCACTCCACACACAGGGCAGCATTTCTAGGGGTTCAGAGGATGGCAACTCACCCCCCCCCATAAAAAAACCAACCTACAAACCAAATAAATAAATAAATAAAAATAAGGAAAAAGGCTGGTTTTACCCCAGGGGATCCTACCCCTACCCCTAACCCAGGGCCCTGGCCTCTCCTAGGGGTGCTACAGCTTCTTTGAGTATCAGCCAGGCCTAGGACAGTACTGAGATCTGGGAGGACATGTCACAGCAGATGCAAACCTACCCCTAGCCTGGCCGAGGACAGACCCCATTCTCTAGCTCACACCGAGAGGCTGCTCCTGGGTGGCAGCAGCTGGTGAGATGACTGGGACAGAAAGGCTATGGCCAGGAAGGGGCCCTCTGAATCTCAGCCAGGGCCCAGGGTCAGGGACCCAGAACTTAAAGCCTGCTGCAGCCTGCCCCGGATGAGAGGTATCCACTGCCTCCTCACCCCTGGCTGCCAGGCCTGAGGGGTAGGAAGACAGGATGGAGAAGGTGGGTACAGCTCAGAGAGTAAGGCAGCAGCTCAGGGGCTGCCTGCCTAGGGCTGCTGTTGGGCAGGTTGTACACTGCTCAAGGGCAGCTGGCTGAGAGAACAAATGGAGACTGAAGTCCAGGCCATACTCTGAATGCCCTGGCTTAGGGACACATCTTCCTGGAGGCAGGGACATGTTTCCTAACTCTTACATGGGCTAGACTTCCTACCAATCTGCCCCAGATGGGGAAGGATTAGGACAGGCTGAGATCCCCCCCAACTGAGCTCCTCAGCATGCAGGAAAGAGCTGGCTACAGAGAAGAGAAAGGGAGAGAGTGGACTCCTCCCCTCCCCTCCCCCTCGCTTCCGCCAGGCAGTTTGCTTCTGCCCCTCACCTCCCTGCCCCATACCTTCTTCCCAAACCTTTGAGGGCCTCAGTTTCCCATGTTTAATGAAGAAGAGGAAAGCGTTTCCAAAATCAGTGAGGAGAAGGGGCCCTGTTGGCTTGCCCCCCCGGCTGGCGTGGGGCCAAAGTCTGAGGCAGCAGGCGCGCAGGGTGGGGCGCCACAATGGGCTAAGAGCTGCGGTAGGTCTTGATAATGTCCTTGATGGGGCGACGGCAGATGGGGCAGCAGGCGTGCAAAGCCTTCTTGAGGCGCAGGCCACAGGCATAGCAGAGGCACATGTGGCCACATGTGTAGATGACGGTGTCCACCGCATGCTCATAGCAAATGGTGCACTCATCACTCCACTGTCCTGTGCCTGGGGTCACTGGTGACTCAGGCAGGCTCACTGGCGAGTTGGGGGCTGTCCCTGGGAACAAGGGGACACCAGTCAGTGGGGACAGGGCCCAGTCTGGCCCCACGCTCATGGGAAGAGAGCCCTCTGGTACCGGTCCCTTGTCTCCCAATCCATTTATTGGCGTCTGCCTGTTTACCCTGACAACCCCCTCCCTGGGCACTAGGGGGCACTAGATATGGGCCAGGGTGCCCATGAGGCAGTGAGAGAAGGGAAAGAGAAAGGTAAGGGGCCCAGAACCTTTTAAGGCAGGTCCCTCTTGAGCTATCCTTCAGCCTTCCCTGTGTGCTATAAAGTGCTTTGGAAAAAGGTGTCCAGCTGGGGGACAGGAAGAGATTCACCCCGGAAATCACCACCCAACAAGGGCTCGCTGAGCCTATCTCCAGCTCCTCCAGGGCCCACCTCTGACACACAGGCTGCATGCCTGCCTCAGCCAGGGGTCTTGGGGTGGGGAGTCTGCTCACGGACCCGGAGCAGCCAGCCTACTTACCGCCAGCAGAGCTGCCCAGGGGTCCAGAACTGCACGTGCTGAGCAAGGGGTCGGAGAGGCGGCTGCCCAGGGCGCTGGGCGAGGTTGGTGTGGAGGCAGGGGAGCAGGAGAGTGACGGGATGCCCCGCTCTGCCAGGATGGTGGAGCCTGCAGAAGGGGAGGGAGGGACTCTAGCAGCTGAGAGGCCTCCCGGGAGAAAGCTCAAGTCTCCGCTCCTCCAGGAGGTCCCCAAGAAAGAAAGTGGTGACGGCCTGGCCACAAAGCCCAACCACTGCGCAGGCTCAGGGCAGGATTCCGCAAGCCGGCCTGGCACCCTGCCCCAGCTCTGTTTCCACCTCCAAACTCCGCTGTTAACACATGAGCAGTCTCCAAACAAGAGCTCTGCTGAGAACCCCACCTCCACCCTCCCCATGCATCCTCACCTTCACGGTTTCCCAGAAAACAAAGTCCCCCTCCTCCCACCTAGTGTGGCCCTTCCAGCCCTAGCCTGACCCTCCCTTTCCAAGCCCTGTATTTTCTCGGTCACTGTCCCTAGACATCACCCACCTTCTCCTCTGCATAAGCACCTTTGAAATGCCCTTCACCATCTCCCAAGCCTGTTCTGGGCTGTACTCTCTCTCCTTCCTTCCTTCCCTCCCTTCCTTCTCTCCCTCTTCAACACCTCTCCTCACCTTTCTCTTCTCTTCCTTCCCTCCCCTGCTCCCCTTCAACAAGTCCTACCAGGCACCATCAACTGTGTAAACATAACACTGAGAACGAGACAGACAGAGCCACTGCCCACAAAGAGCTAACTGTCCAGGGAGCCCCTTGGAGCTGTCTGCAAACCTCCTCTCCTCTGGGGAGCTCTGACCACCCCTCCCCCAACCACATTACTTTATTTACCACTGACCAGCCACACACACCACATACATGGGACCAAACAACCACAGAGTGGGATAGATTTGTCCTTTGCCCAGGAATGCAGCTTTGTTTTCCCAGTTGAGCTATGAGCTTCCCGAGAGCAGGAAATCGTATTCACCCGTGACTCTCCCACAGGCTCTAACATATTGCCCTGCACCTAAATGTGCAGTGAGATCATCTCTATTATTATGTGTTCTAATCCACTTAACAGTCGCCATTTCTAAGAATATTCATTAGATATCCACAGGGTTTCTCTTAGTGTTAATAGTCTTCAAGGTAATTATCATCTTCTTTCAGAAATTCACACCTCCTATTTGCTTTTCTTGCCTTATTGCACTGGCTACCATTTTCGGAACAATACTGTAAGGCATCCCTATCATATTGCTGACTTTAATGAGAATGTTTCTCATGTTTGATCACTGGGTATGAAATTGGCTATAGTTCTGGAGTAAAGGAAATATTCCTCCATTCTTAGTTCACTTAGGCCATTCACAAAGCAGAGCACTCCTCTGTAAAGTCGTTACCCTTCACATACCATCACTGGCTTTTCTTTGCAGTTCCATCAGGATCCCCAAACACCAATTTGCTGACTGAGATTCCCCGTTCTCCTACCACCCAGAAGCACTGTCTTTAGCATATATCATTTAGCATATATCTGGATGATTATTCTTAAACCCCCACCTTGGCCCACTGACCTCTTGGGACATTTAAGTCCTGATTTTTTTTTTTTTTAAGCTTCTCCTGTGTCTAGTAAGCCTCTTTGGGGAACAGAAGTCTCATCAGAAAGCTACTTATCTATTATTAGATGGTGCTGAGGTAAGAAAGTATCTTATGTAATTTCCTTCATGTGAGGAGTACTGTCTCCCAGTGAATGTAGCCAAGTATCTTTATACCTCAGCCTGATTTTTTTCTGTACCCCAGTCTGATTTCTTTTTATTCCATCCTGAGTTTTCACCCCAACTTCTTTCCATCCTGGTGTCTTTTCATCTAGCCTGATTTCTTTTCATTCCTTCCTGATTTATCTTCCCTCAGTCCTAACCTGTTAGCATCTCAGCCTCATTCTTTTAATTCCTTTTCAAATTTATTTTTCACTCCATCTTCATTTGGTCTCTTTCCAAAGTAGGAAATCCCCACTTACTTTATCTGATTTCACAAACTCTAACACATTCATAATCACCAACAGCATTATACATACAAATACACATGCATTTAGTTACTCATGTGTGCCCTATACCCAGACATACCAATTTTAGACCATAATACACATTCATACACACATGTTATCCTGTCTACAAAGCCTCCTGGTGTGAGGTCTAGGCTGGGGCTATGAAGCCCTGAGGTCTCCAAACATATCTAAACAAACTTGGCTTAAAAAAAGAAATTCAGATGTCTAAGGTTTACAGAATCAAAATCTCTGCAGCTGCGATTCAAAAATCTGCACCTTAGTAGGTCCTGCTAGTTAATCCAGTGGAACTAGCCCAGTCTACTGCAGCTGGTTGGCAGGCCAGCTCTTGCACAGTATCAATACCTGCCCACTCGGTGGGGGGGGGGGGGGGGGGGGGGGGGNAACAGAGGTCCCTGGAGATGGGTTGTGGGGGGAGGGGCATGAGGGGGAAGATTTTTGGTCAAATTAGTTTAGATAAAGCTGTACCCTATAACCACCACCTCCTCTTCCTTAAAGATTCATATTGCATATTAAATGCTCTGAGAGGGGTGCCTGGGTGGCTCGGTCAGTTAGGTGTCTGACTCTTGATTTTGGCTCCAGTCATGACCTCACAGTTTGTAGGATCGAGCCCCGTATGGGGCTCTGTGCTAGCAGCTCAGAGCCTGCTTGGGATTTTCTCTCCCCCCTATGCCCCTCCCCCATTCTCTCTCTGTCTCTCAAAATAAACTTAATAAATAAAGGCTCTGAGTTCTACAATAAAGAATCCTCTACTTTTTCTCAACTTAGTATTTTCCTAATTTTTTCACCCAAGGGACTCATTTTCAACAGACGCCTATTCCACAGAACACTCCAAGAAACAGGCCTCTCTCAAGTCCACAACCACCAGTCCATTCAGACTCTATCCTTTCAAAGCCAGGAATGAAATTCCCAGACCTCTGCCACCCCATTTCCTCCAAGGCCCTATTCTTGGATTCCCCATAGGCTCCCAATCCAGGTACCGTCCTGGACAGACATCTGGCTACCGACATATCAAACTCTTTTTCTTACCTCTTAAGAGGCAGAGGCTTTTATTCCCCTTTTGGAAAAATGGAAACTCAGCCTCAAACTTAACTGCTGGTGGAAACCTTTTTTGTCATTTTTAAATGGCCACTGAGATGTGTGTCTCCGGGCTGTTGATGTATCAATGCGGACACAGGTTAATCGGACTCTGGGAAACTCGGTGATCCACACTTTACTCCCCACCCCCAAGATGTGTCCGGTGAGATTTGGGGACAAGGGCCTAGCAGACGTAGTCCCGCCCAGAGCTCACTTCTGCGCCAGTGAAGCGGTGGGGCGGGGCGAGCTGGCCCTCTATTCCTTCCCCCTGCCTGGAAGGGCCCCAATCTCCACGAAAGGCACGGGGCTGAAGTGGGTCTGTCGGAGGGGCCATCAGGGGAGGCACTCACCGAGGATGCGGATCTGCGTGACGGCCCCGTGCAGGCCGAAGAGCATCCAGAGCGGCTGCGAGGCGTCCACGCACAGCTGCATGCCCGCCGCGGCGCCGTTGTGGCTGAGGTGCAGCTCCCCGTCGGCGTTGACCACCAGGCCCAGGATGTCGCCGCTGTGCAGGGGCCCCGGCACGCGGCACACGGCCCAAAATTCCTTGCGGTCCACCAGGGCCTCGGGGCTGAAGGGCAGGTCGGCTGGCCTTAGCGTGCCGGGGTCGCACGTGGTGACGCCGAAGGAGAGCGCGCCGGGCCGCACGCCGCCTGAACGCGTGACCTTGACGAAGATGGTCTCGGCCACGCGCACAGGCCGGCTGGTGAAGACGAGCGCGCGCTCGTCGCGCCCGTGCTCCAGGCGCGCCACCGTCTGCTCGTCTAGGATCCGGACGTGCGCGCCGGCGCGCAGCGCGTGGAAGCGAAGGTCGCCGTCGAGCTGCGCCGGCAGCGCATGGCTGTGCTGCGAGTTGAGCGAGTTCTGCGGGATGGGGCAGCCGGCGGCCGGCGTGGCCTCATCGCCCTCGGCGCCCGGCAAGTTGAGGTCGCACAGGCTCACGGAGAGGCGCGCCTCGTCCGCGTCGCGCCGCAGCGACGGCCGCCGCAGGGCGGTGAAGGAGCGGGGCCGCAGGCAGTCCGGGAGCACTAGCTCGCTGTCTGCGGCCGGGGGAGGGGGAGAGACAGGGCGACCGTCAACACGGGCCACTCGGGGCCAGCCCCCTTCGCCTGCCCACTGCCTCCCGGCAGCCTTTCCAGCATGCACCACGAATTACCGACCGCATTGTTAGCGGCATGGGACAGGCTTCAGACCTAGGCTAAGGAGTCTGAAACAAAGTCCTGCAGGACATCTGTTTGTTAAAGCAAAGGGTCAAGGCTGGAAGGAATAAAAACATTCTAAATGGCGCGCTTGTAAAAATAATAATAATATTATTATTATTATTATTATTATCATTAACTCCCAGGCCCTCCCTTTTGATCCCCAGCAGCTAGAACTGCGCTAAGCACTTCAGACAACAAGCAGTAAATACTTGCTGAATGCACTGCTGACGTCCTACCCTTCGGAAGGTCAGAGGGATCCCCCTTCCCCAGAACTCCTCTTTTCATAAATTGTCTCAGCTTATCCTTACAATTACCTTTTGAGCTTAGCATTGCCGCAGAAGGACACTGAGGTGGAGAGAACTTCAGTAAATTTATCCAGATTTCCTTTTGGAAGTGACTTACTTTCAAAAGGGAAATCAACCCCTTTCTCTTTTCAATCATACAAGTAAGACAGACTGTATTTTGTAGAAAAGACAGCTCAGCAAAAGAAAAAATGATCACCTCTCAGCCCGCCATCCAGAGAAAAATACTCAATATTTGGATGAGGACCTTCCAGCTTCCCACCCCCCATATATTCTTACTTTTTAATATGAAAATTGAATCATGCTATATAAACTCCAGTAGTTTTTAACCTTTAATGGGTAACAAATCCCTTTGAAAATGTGGTAACTTTCACCTATCACCTCAGAAAAATGTACGTTCTTCCTAAAGTCTGGATAATTTCAGGGCATCTGTGAATCCCGTAAAGCCATCCATGGGCATGGACTCCAGGCTAAGAACCCTGCTATACAGATTTCCTTTTCAAAACTAGCTTTTCCACTTACTGTGTCCTGAACACCTTTCCATGCCAATAACCATGTTTCCAACACCATCATATTTTTTAATGGCTATATTATGTCTCTCTTTATGGAGTCCTGTAATTTATAATAAAAGTCACTATGCACGATGAATTACCCCTGCGTTTCATCCTTAAAACATCCTCTGTTAGTGCTCCCGTTATGGAGATAAAACTCAGAGATGTGATGTGACCGGCACCAAGGGGCAGATCTGAAATTGAAGCAAGTTCTGTCTAACTCCTGACACCACATTCTTTGCTTTCAGGACCCCCCAACCCTTGTTTATTGAATCCCTTATGTGGGAGTCAAAGTCCCCAGTTTTGGCTAGTGCCACTGTAGACCACAGCATGGGCCAATTCCTCCCTGAGAGCCTTTTCTCAGAATCTCCCAAAGGGAGGTGCTTTCTCTCCAGGACCTGGGTAAGGATGGCTGGGGTGTTCAGTGTGGGAGCAAAGCTTGAGGGACTGGACTTGTGTGGGCAGCTGAGGTCAGAATTCAGCTCCAGCTCAATCTGGACAGTCTCTAAAGCCTCCTTGTTTTTGTTCTCCCCCAGCCACCACTGCCCCTTCCAGAAACAGCCTTGTTTGGGCCTGGGCAAGGAGAGGGTGCTGGGCCCTCCCCCCGCAAGTCCCCTGCCTCTCTGCAGTAGTAGCCTCATGGGGCCTGGCTGGTTGGGATTTCCCAGCATCGTGCCTGGCAAGAAGGAGGGAGCCAACCGGAAAATGTGATTATTCCAGGGAATTGACTCTGTGACAGCGACAGTGCAGAGAGGCTGGGGGCTGCAGAGAGGCAGAGGCAAGGAGGCCCAAACAGGAGGGGGAGGCCTGAGAGACAGCAGTGTGGACCTGAGACAGGCTGTGGGCTGGCCTGGACCCCTGGGAACAGCCCCTGCTTCTGACCTCTCTGGGATTCCAGGCACTGGCCCTACAGAACTCCAGGGCTGGAGATGGAGAAGAAGGTACAGGGTGACTAAAAAACAAACGGCTCAGAGATTCCCAGCCAGACCCTACAGAAATAAGACTGTCAAAGAAGCCCACACACACGTGCACCCCGACACTCCTCTCCCCACCCCATCCTACACACACACACAGAACAGTCGGCCCAGAGCCCGTGGTGTGAGCTCCCCTGAGCTCTGCCCCTTCAGGAGTCCTTCTGTACTTGAACATGCCCACTCCCGGGCTTCGCAGACTATCCATTGCCATTGTTGAGCTACTCTAAGAAAGCGTTTTTTTCTCTTAAACTGACATCTACCTCCCTGTATCCAAGATCCTGGATTCATTTACTTAACTCCTCTCAGCTTCTGTGCCAATGGGGCAGTTCCATAGAGAAAACCACTCTCCTCTGGGAATATTCAGACTCACTGCACACCTGCCCACCTCTTGGACGATGAACAGAACCAGACTCCAGATGTTCTCTGACCAGCTCAAGGCACAGTATGGCCATCACCTCCCTTGATATTTACACTATACTTCCAATAGAGCAACCTAACAGTATCTCAGATGCTTTAGCAGCCCAAATCCATCAACACGGAGGCAGGCTAGGACACAGTTAAGTGTAAGGATTTTGAAGTCATTAGCCTGGGTTCAAATCCTGGCTCTCCCATTTCCTGGCCAGGAAAACTTAGATAAAAAGCTTGACCTCTCTGGGCCTCTCTTCCTCAGCTGTAAAATCAGCACAGGTACTGATATGTATAAAATCTGTATCCCAATACTCCCCTCAGAAGGGATGCTGTAAAGTTGAAATGCAGGAGGTACATAGTACCATACTCTACCTAGTAGAGTACCTGGCACATAATAATCATTAGGTTAATACAAACCACTGTTACTATCATTTTCATGCCCCGTGGCTCAGAAGAAAGTGGGATTTGGGGTGACACAGGCCTGGGTTTAACCATCCAGTCCAGCACTTGAATGATAGCCAGTAGGGAAGCAACTTCTCTCCCAGCCTCAGATAACTCACCTAGAGAACAAGGGTGATAATACCTGCCTTGTGATGATGTCGCAGGGATCAGAGGTAAAGTGGGAAGGCCCTGGGACCTGGGTACTTGATGACCTTGGGTACTAGTACTGACTCAGGTTGAGTTTTGTCAATCAAAGTTAGATCCACCTGCACTTAGGCAGTTAACCTTCTGAACCGTAAGGAAGGACTTTCTACCAGTCATGAATGACATCACTGACTGAAGACCAGAAAGGAGAAGGTACAAAGTGGACATTAGAGAAAAAAGAAGAGAAGGAAGGAGAAACAGTGGGAACTGGGGGTATGAGGGAGAGGAGAACGAACAGGAAAATAAACCCTATGGCCCTTGCCTGAGATCTTGGACGAGTAGGGAGAAAAAGGTACGGGAGATGCTGGGAAACAGCTAAAAATGGAATCCCCGGGGCCAGTGCCCAGCCCAAGTATGTCTCCTCTCCCCGCTCGGCCGCCCCTCGGGGTCAGGAGCAGCTGCGGGCCGCCAGCAAGCTCCAAAATAGCCATCCCCTCAGTGTGCCCAGCTGTGCCGGGCCCTGAAATAGATGACACTGGAGATGGAGGAGCTGGTCAGGTGGCCTCCGCACAAGGGACAGCAAAGGTCAGAGCTGACTGGGCTGACATCGAGTCAGAGGCCAAGGGAGGGTCCTGGCCCCCAAAGTCACAGGAGAGCACCCTGGGGCCAGCCTCAGCCCCGGGTTACGGCTCGGAAAAAGCAGATGGGCTACCTGTAAACCCAAGCAGTGGGATGGCCCGTTTGAAAGCAACAAGTTATGTAATCCATGCCTGAGACACACGGCTGCCCACTTTGGAGGTGTTTATGGCAGGAGGAGGGGCGGCTCAAGGCCACGGGAGAAGCCGTTAAGCTGGCTCCCCTCTCTGAGTCCCGTCTTTCAGGAAGGAATTTGTCCGTCTTCAGCTCCTGCCTAATCTGGTGCCTAGCGGTGGCCCTGCAGATACTTCGGGCCAGAGCAGAAATGACCTGCCCTGCAAGGGCAGCAAGGCCCGGACAGGGGGTTTCCTCCCCTCAAGGTGGCACTGACCCACTGTGTGCCCAGCCCCAGGCAGTGGTTAGAGGCAGAAGAAGTCAGGACCTGGGCCCCAGGGAGCCCGTAAGCTGTGGGAGGATCAAAGCTTGGAGGCATGAAAATATTCCAATACAATTTTGTTACAAAATTCTCAGCGTCTCCAGAGGAAATCCGTCTCTCTGCCAAGTTCTCACCCAGCCTTGAGTAGAATGCCCCCGGGGACAAGCAGCTCACCACATCCCAAGGCTATCTGTCCCCTATCTCTGAACAACCATAACTGTTCGCAAAGCTCTCCTTGCAGGGCTCCATTCGTGTCCTCTCACCACTCCTTGCACCCTCTCTGAGCCTTCTCTTCTTTAGGATAAATATCCCTTTTAGGATAACGCTCTCCAGCTGAGGCTGAGGCCCTTCTTCCTGTCTCACAGTGGGTCAGGGACAGCATCTCAAAGAAACAAGATTTGACCTGGGCCCTGAAGGACCAGAGTGTGGACAGACAGAAGTGAGAGGCACTCAGTGGGGAGACTGTTCTAGTAAATGCCTGGAGAACAGTCTGCGCAGGGCCAGTGGGGAGAAAGGATGGGAGAGAAGGAAGGGAGGGGCCGGGCTGAGGGTTCCGGGGCCAGCTCTGGCCAGAGACCCGCCGGGCCCTCCCACGGGTAGCCAGCCAGTGCAGGGCAACCAGAGCAGGGCCAGGGCGTTGGGGCAGGGGCCCTCCAGGGCAGGCAAGGGGCTCCTTTGAAGCCAGGCCTGCTGTCAGCCCAAGAGTCTTGTTTGTTTGGATTCTCACTTCCGGAGCACTAGATAATCTTTAACCATGGGTCGGCCTGCATCAGCCGGCCGGCTGGCGGGTATCTGCCGGCCCCTGTTTAGAAGGCGCTGCCAGCCCATTTACTGTCTCTATAAACATCCTTCTGCTGGTCAGCATCTGGCATGGGGCAGGGGAAGGAGCCCGGAGGGCGGGTACATGGCTTGGACGGGTTAGGGGTTTCTCCACCCCTCTAGGCAA